GTTCACAAAGAAAAGTCAGTTGACTGGTGTACAGAGAGAAAATATAGCACACATCTGCCAATGTTTGTTGGACTTAAGTAACAAAAAACAAAACAAAAAACAGCCATTATCCTTGTTGGATGAAGTAATTAAGAAAATATTGATATTTTTCATTACTAGGATTTGCTGGTAGCTTTTTAAATACATGATGAATTTAATGTGCAGTTATCACAAGACAGACATAAATTCAATATATGAAAGTGTTTCTGTTAGTTATGAAGTCAAGGGAAATCTATACAAAACAAGAATTAGCTGTTGGACAGGATTGCTGTAGATACATGTCTGAAAACCACTAGGAATGATTGGTTCCCTGTGAGGAAAAAGGAGCAGTTCAAACTGCTTTTTTTAAAGTTGCATGTGATACATACTACATTTTATGTATGAGTACAAATGTGTATTACACAGGAGTTTAATTGACAGGAATAGGCATGATCCTGTGCCTTGCGTGCACACAGGAATATTGTATGATGAAAATGGGGTAGTGAAACTTTTTTCAAAACTATATCCATTCTAGCTAGTTGAATAGCACCTTAAAAAAACACACACATTTATGGGCATCATACAGTGAGTTGGGCATGGAAACTTTTCAGTTTGGGCTGTGATCCCAAGGCTGACCCTGTAATGTAGAAAAAGCTCGCATAGATAGGTTAAGTGGGTTCAGAAATCCAGATGTCATGTCTGCATGGGCAACTCATCATACCCCCAGGATTTATAACACACAAGGATTCCTTTCCATCTGCTCACCCACCCTCTCTTGTGTATTTCCTAGAACGCATTAGTTTCTATTGTTCTCCAAAGCATGGTGTAAAGTGAAAGGAAAGACCCTTCCCCTTCCCTATACGGGCCAAAGGCCTTTGTGTGGGGGTTGGAGGCTCCTGCAGTACTGGAATTTAGGTTGTAGAGAGGAAAATGCAGTGCTGATCTCTCTTGCTGCTTCTGCCACTTCCCATCATGAAGTGATGTGAACTTCAGTGGGCCTTGATTCCCAGTGATAGGCAAACTCTTTCCTAACTTGAAAGACATACAGTATACTGTAGTTTTAAATACGTTAACTCAAATTCTTTGTTTTTAAAAAGGAGCATTTTAACCTATCTGCATGGTGATGGTGGTTTGGCACTGTTGCCTTTAGAGAAAGAAAGTTCTGTAGCTTTTCATGGGTGAATGTTCAACAAAATGAGGAAAGAAGATGATCCAAATTTGTCCTAATTGTGGTTTTCTGGACACAGATTTTTTTTTTAAAAAAGGTACAGTCTTGTGCCTTATTTTGTATAAAGTCTGCATTGTAGACTGTATTTTCCAAATATAGATTGACATCTCCCATTGGTTTCCATCATTCTCCAAAGCCTGTTTACTGTGCTTAAAGTGAACACTGGATCTTGAAGCTACAAGAAATTCTCATGTTGATTTATTTTCTATGGTCAGTTTTCAGTACAGTCCGTGGTATGCTTGGGTGTCATTTCCGCATAAAAAGCTCAGTTCCTGCTCCTAAAAGCTTCCTGTCTGATCATTTCATTTCTCATATCTTCCCTTATGACTTGTCATCTGCTCGGTGTTAAAATGAAGTGGTTTGCGCCAGAAGCGGTTTAGTCCTTGCTGGCCACATGACCTGGAAAGCTGTCTACGGACAAACACCGGTTCCCTCGGCCTGAAAGCGAGATGAGCGCCGCAAACCCATAGTCACCTTTGACGGGACTTAACCATCCAGGGGTCCTCTACCTTTAACTTTACTAAATGTAGTGTATGTACATGTGCCAATTTTGGAAGTGGCAATTTGGTGTTAAAGGACTTTGGCTTTTCATGCTGACTTCTTTGTTTGCAAGAATGGAGCTTCTGAACCCTAGAGTTACATCCAGTACTCCATGTGGAAAATCTGATCAAGGATTTATGAGTTGTGGGTTCAGAAGACACTGAAATGCGTTGTGAAACTCCAGGTGCCTTGGGTGTTGCTTCTGTATTAACTAGAACATTTGGATTTCAAACCACAAGGAATTTGTGGTGTTTAATACGGTACTGACAAATAAATTCTAGCTGCACTGGAGCTGAAAGTGAAGAGACATTACATCTAGAATAGGCATCAAGCATGTAATGGAAGGATGGGGAACCTGTGTTCTTCAAGGGGTTACAGGACTACAACTTCATTCCTCAATCCGTGTCAGTCTTGGTAGACATAATGCTATTGACAAGTGACATCTCTTGGTTTAATCAAAAGAACCCATGTGGTGGTGTGCTTAGAAATGTTTGACTAGGACTTGGGAGTCATGGGTTCAGATCCCCTGTCAAGTCATGAAACTCACTCTTGACTTGGGTCAAATCTCATATCCTAACAGGGTTGTTGTGAGGATGAAGTGAGGGTGGAAGAACCAAGTACCTTGAGCTCCTTGGAGGAAATTTGTGATAAAAATGTAGCATTTCTTATTAATATGTTTTGGATTGTGAGTGAAGGCATAAGCCTGGTACGCTTGGAGAGAATGCATTGTGTAGTGTGGTTGCACATTGTGGTGTCTACGCCAGTCCTGTGTCAGCATTTCACTTTATTTAACAAAGTTTTTATACTGCTTAACTGTAAATAACATCTTTAAGTGGTTTACAAAGAATATGAAACAGAGAATTGGAAGGGACCATGGGGGTCATCTAGTCCCACCCCTGTCAATTGGGGGGTGCAGGTTCTTTTTAAAGTAACACAAAACTCTCCTCCCCGCATCTTGGAGAGGAATAGAAAGCTGAACCGTGTATAGATATTAGTAAATAGGGATAAAATTGTTCCCTGTTAAACGGCATATGCTGGTGTATTGTGGTGACTGACTTGGGGACAAGCTGGTAGTCTTCTGTTCAGTCATTATGAACTCATTAGGTGGACTCCTGGAAGACACTCTTTCCAACCTCTGCCCCTCCACTCTCACCATTTTATTTGCTTTTATTTAAATACATTATGAAATGGCGATAATAATACTGACCCATCTTATAGGGTTATTTAGACAAGAATTAGGGACGCGGGTGGCGCTGTGGGTAAAACCTCAGTGCCTAGGACTTGCTGATCGTATGGTCGGCGGTTTGAATCCCCGTGACGGGGTGAGCTCCCGTCGTTCGGTCCCAGCTCCTACCCACCTAGCAGTTCCAAAGCACCCCTAAGTGCAAGTAGATAAATAGGTACTGCTTTATAGCGGGAAGGTAAACGGCGTTTCCGTGTGCGGCACTGGTGCTGGCTCACCAGTGCAGCCTCGTCACGCTGGCCACGTGACCCGGAAGTGTCTGCGGACGGCGATGGCTCCCGGCCTCTTGAGTGAGATGAGCGCACAACCCTAGAGTCGGTCACGACTGGCTCGTACGGGCAGGGGTACCTTTACCTTAGACAAGAATTAAGCCGAAGTACTTTGAAATGCTGTTTTATTTCTGCCAAAATGCAGCCCTGTACAACTTGTTGAGCTTTCTTTTCTTTCCCTTTTAAATTAGAAATAAGTGTGCCTTGAAAGCTGGATTACCAGGTCTACTGGACCAATGAAATTAGAATAATTTTTTATTCTACTTGCTTCTCACTTGAGATTTAAACATGTTATTGCTTAGAATGGATCACCAAAATGCAGCTGCTCAGAAGAGTTTTGTTTTAGGGCTAACATAGTCTTAATCTCTTATCTGGTAGGTCTGCTGCTGATGGTGCTGTTAAGTAATCCAAAGGGTAGGAACTCCATTTGCTGATTTGGCTGCCTGTTGAAGTAGCAGCAGACAGTGTAGCTTCAAAATGGCTGCCAGATGGGCACTATCCACAGCAGATGTTGCATATAGTCATGAATAAGAGCTTTACTCACACTTTAAATTAATATTAAAAGTTCAACCATTTTTGCAAGGTGAGGGCTCGTGTAAAACAATCCAAATTGTTTGTATGCAATACAGTGGAATGTAATTCTGCTTCACCTGACTCTTTCAGCCAGAATGGAAATGTAGATTTAGGATTTTGGAGGCAAAAGAACTTTAGTAACCATCCTTACTAGATTTCTTTCACTGAAGCAGCTTCCTCCATATGAATATAAAAGCATGATGTGAGTGTTAACAGTAACTCCCTAGGGCAGGTTCCTCGCAGAAATTAGTAACTTCCTTTGACAGTTGCATCATTTTAAAGATAACTATGTATTGAAATCTGAATTCAATAGCTGTGTTATACTTACTTAATTGTGGAATACGCAGAATTGTTTTTTAGACTTGCCTGGGCAAACTGTTAGCTGTAGTTGCAGTTGTTTTTAAATGAATTCTAGGAAGAATAATGTTGCTTGGACTAAATGTGTGTGTTTTGCAATAATTTTAAAAGGGAGAAGTCACTTTTTATAAGACAGCCTTAAATATTAGCCATAAAAAGCTACTAGCATGCCAAAAAATAAGACAAAAGAAATACCTGCCCACTTTGAACTCCGCAAGAGGAGCTTGGTAGGATAGATAGATGGTCAACCTCTCTTATGAATAAAAATCAGGTTAGTAAAAAGCCGTGAAATGCAACAGACTGGCTGAGGAGGCATTAAGTGTTTCCTGCTCCTCTGCCTGCCTGCTTGATTTCTGTGCTAGTCACAGAGAAAGGGCTTTGCCTCCCTTTTTGCCAGCTCATAAATGCAGTAGCCTGGACAAGGAGAAATGCTTCACTCTGTCCCTTTTCCATAAGCCCTGCTGCATTTCTATGCTGCGTGGAGAGAAATGACCTTCACTTTCTCCAGCGTAGAAGCCTAGTAATACACATATTTTCCTCTAAGCTGTAATTTCTTTTATCGAATTCCATACATTTTCCTCCCTGGCATTCCTGGTTATCTATGGTGACTTAAGGGAGCAGTTTATTACTTAATCTGAATATTGGTAGCAGTATAAAACATGAATAAATCATATAGAATATACTAGTTTAGTCTCTTGTTTTTAAACAAAAGTATTTTATTATATGCATGTTTCCTTAGTTAATGTTTGTGTGTTAAATCTTCTCTCCATAGGTGGTGAATTTCTTGGTGCTGCTAAACCATTTCCATATTTCTTTGGGCTTAAGAAGACCTGAATTTTTTACATGTGGAGATATATGCAGGCTAGTTTCTTTGAAGTTTTAATGAACTGAAAAGGCTTCACAGAGAGCATAAACAATCCAATACCTTCATTGGAGAACTGATGGGACACTTTTATAAATAGTTTGTATTGCGTGAGGCTTTCTACCCCTACCGATGAGCAAAAACATTCAGCAAACTTCTCTTGATGGTCCTCTGGGCTTGGACATTTGTGAGTAAACAGGTGGGAAGCCACTGAAGTGGCCTTAATCTCCAACGCAAAAAAGCCTAGAATCCATGTTAACATCTTCAAAGGAATATGCCTACTCAACCTCTTTTAGCATATATGGATGGACCAGATGGCATAGCAAGTACTGTTGGTTCACGTATGGAGAACAATGATGCCACTATGCCAATAAAAGGGGCCAACACAATTTCGTACAAGAACTTGCAAGACAAGTTCTTAATGCAAGGGGAAGGATGCATGCCTTTGGATTGCATGTTCTGTGATCAGACTTTCAAGCATCCAGAAGATCTTGGTAAGCATGTCTTAATGCAGCACAGGCCAACACTCTGCGAACCAGCAGTTCTGCGTGTAGAAGCGGAATACCTTAGCCATCTTGATAAAGGACAAGTGAAAACAGACTTGCCACCCTCAGATGCCAATGAAAAGGATAGCCAAGATTTCAGTTGCTTGGTTTGTGGACAAACATTTGAGGAGGCATATGATGTTGAGGCCCACATGAGAAAGCACAAGGACTCTTTCACTTACTGGTGCAGTGTTTGTGGGAGGAGATTTAAGGAGCCATGGTTCCTCAAAAATCACATGAGAACACATACTGGTAAGCCTGGTTCTAGAAGCAAGACACCTCAAGGATCAGAGAGTCCTATAACCATAAATGAGGTTGTACAGGACCAAGTAACTGAAAGTATTACATCACCTTACAAAATCTGCATGGTTTGTGGCTTCCTATTTCAGAATAAGGAAAGTTTAATTGAGCACAGTAAAGTACATACCAAAGATTCAGTAGCCAGTGATGATGGCTCACAAGCTGATCCAGATGACAAAGGAAATGGATCGCCCAGGGAAGAGTTTTTGCAGTTTTTAAACTTAAAACCACGTATGCCTCCTAGCAATAAAAAGCAAGAAAAGCCTGTGAAATGGATAGCAGAGTTAGATCCGTTCAGTACGTATCAGGCATGGCAACTGGCTACCAAAGGAAAAATTGCTACTGGCCACGGGCAAGTGAAGGAGCCAGGGCATGAAGGAAGTACAGACAATGATGACTCCTCTTCTGATAAAGAAGAGCTTGGGGAAATTTGGAATGCAAACAAAGCAAGCCAGATTGAAAGCACGGGGAAGATCAAGGCAAGCAAAAGTGGAAGTTTCACAGCGATTGGTAATATACCACAAGACAAATTCAGATATCCTGGCCGTGAAGTGCCTTCTATGGAGATGGATTCAAAATTGTCCCAGAACAAAGACAAGCCCACACATTGTTCAGAGTGTGGCAAAGCCTTTCGAACTTACCACCAGCTTGTCCTTCACTCAAGAGTACATAAGAGAGACCGAAAGAATGATTTAGAAGCCAGCTCTGTTGAAGGAAAGCAGCCAAGAGCATGCCTTACAGATGTCGGGACTGTGGATGAGAATGGAGTAGGAGAACGAGGGGAAGGAGGCTCTGAAGATGGATCAGAGGATGGGCTAATAGAGACCTTAGGTAAGAGCTATTAAGAAGTTGTGATTCCTTTTTAGCTCACTTGTTTTGTTCATGTATACATTATCTAAACCACATTGATTGATTGATTTTTTAAGTTACTGACAGAGATTTTTGCTAGTAATGCTATATAACACCCTTCTTCCTAGGTGCAGGTACTCAGCATTTTGCTGCTTAAAAGTCATGGCATAATTCCTTTTTTGTAAGTGCACTTAAGGGAAGGATGCTTGCGTAATCCTTTGTACAGCATGTTCCATGTACACATGACTGCATCTTGCCCTTTCTAGCAATGTGCAGACCTGAAGTTCAGGTTAGTATAATGGAGCACTAGCCATTCTGTTGATGGCTGAATGACTTTTGTTTCTTTGCCATAAAACCTGGAGAAACTTCATTGTTTCTCAATTCTTTGCCAACTGGTACTGATCTCCAAGCACTATAGGGACATGTTTGTATATATTCATGATCATTTAGGTTGTTGTGTCATTAGTGCATAGTTGCTAGTGCATTAATTTTTAAAATATGAAAATATTGAGAAGATAAAAATTACTCTTATTTTATGAAATGACTAGGTGCATTTCCTGTCTGTGTTTTCTGTGTGCACCACCATTCTGCAGCCGTAAATGAAATTGCACCTCCAAGCAATGGCATTAGAAAGAACCTGAAACACCCTTTGTTGATTATAATACTGTGCTTGCTGCCCTCTAGTGTTATGTCTTGGGAGTTGCATGTAGGAGCTAGAGGGAGGGAGAGATAAAACTTTGTTTATATGACTATCAAATGAAGAACTGGAACCTGCTGTGATGAACAGATAACAAAAGATTTCCCTCCTTTAAATGTATTACAGAAAACCAGGCACTTGTTAGGGTGAAAATTTTTTTTTACTCAAAACAATTAATTTTTATAAAAGAAATTCTTCTGTTCCAATACTATGAAAGACTTATACAAGCAAATGAACTATGAAGGTGTCCCACACTAGCATTACAATATTTGAACAAAATTCTGTTTACTGTTGAACTAAAATACTTCCCGTAGGGTTGGGTTTAATACTGTACATTTGGTAATAATAATAAATAATAATATTTGTACCCCACAGATTCGGTAGATTTGTTTCAACTTGTGCAGTGCACTTTGGGTTTGTTCCTCTTGGAAGTCTAACTTTACATTTTGTTTTTCCAGTACATCTCTTGTTGAACTAGCAATGCAAGTCTAATAAACTCATTATGCCCACATACACCATGCCACTTAACATTATTTCTAGTTTGGGGTGGGGCTGGGATACAGCAACCATACGTATTGCTGTTGCATGCTCAATAACCCAGCCGAAGTGTGTGTGTGTTAAATGGCCAACAAAACTCCCAAACAAACATATTTAATCTCCATTCTGGTGACTCCTGCTGTTTCCCCCCTTTAAAATGGCCCCAACACAACATAGCATCAGGTCATTTGGGGATTAAGAAGAATAGTTGGGCAACCTATAGACTTGAGTTAAAGCTGTGTCAAAAGCTAAAACTAAAAACCACTCAAAACATCAGCCCCCACCCCCTTGTTGGTATGGTTCTCCATTCTCAGGTGCCCAGTCGGAGACCTCGTCTGGTGGAAATTGCTTGAAACTTAGGAGACCTCAAAGGAAAGAATCTGTGTTCTCATGGGGTTTACAAATTCAAAATTAACTCAGAGTTAATTTTGTTAGAATACAGTGCATAGGCCAATTGACAGTGATGTTGCTGCTGATAGTGTGTTAATACACTGCATGGTAGTAAAGGAAAAGGAGCAGTAGGGGTAGGAGATGCATGGCGCATACTGTATATGTGTCTAGTGGTGGTAGCCACAATAACACATGCTGTTGTCATTATAGATGCCAAACATGCTTGGATCCAGTACAGTGGTACCTTGGTTCCCAAACTTAATCCGTTCCAGAAGTCCATTCCAAAACCAAAACACGTTTTCCCATAGAAAGTAATGCAAAATTGGCTTTTAAAAACAACCCCTAAAACAGCACTTTTACTTTCTAACAAGACCATTGATCCATAAAATGAATCCATAAAATGAAAGCAATAATCAGTGCACTGTACCTTGGGTTACATACGCTTCAGATTACAGACTCCGCCAATCCAGAAATAGCGCTTCAGGTTAAGAACTTTGCTTCAGGATGAGAACAGAAATTGTGCTCCGGTGGCGCAGTGGCCCCATTAGCTAAAGTGGTGCTTCAGGTTAAGAACAGTTTCAGGTTAAGAACGGACCTCCGGAACGAATTAAGTACTTAACCCGAGCTACCACTGTACTATAAAATAAATAAGACAGTATTGTAGATGATAAAAATTAAAATTATTATTTTTTCTTGCCTGCACTGATGATAATCATTGTTTGGAGGAGGGATTTTTATCCCTTTCCACAGTCACACAATCAGTTAATCAGTTGCTGAACTGGGTTCCAGTCAGAAAAATAAGTCACAAAAATGAAGTCACAAGTCAAAGTCCCATAAAAGTAAGAACAAGCCACACAAACAAAAATGCAAAAAAATAGCAAAAACAAAAGCACCAAATATCACCTCAGAACACTGCAATTGGAAACGGAAGGCTTCAGTTACAATGGGGGAGGGGGACAACGAAAATAAGCAGCGCATCAGAACAAACAGAAGGCAGAAAGATTTAATTACGATGGGTGGGGGCGCCGCAAATTAGCAGCACAACAGTACGAATGGAAGCTCAGGAGCACATTCAGCTTCCAAAGCAAAGTTCTCAAACTGGAACACTGACTTCCAGGTTTGCAGTGTTTGATTTCCAAGTTGTTCGGGAATTAAGCTGCTTGAAAACCGAGGTACCACTGTATTCACTTTTATAACATGGTTTGTCTGTATTTTTTCTTCCTCTGTCCAAAGATAAGAACGAAGATGGCATAGAAAGAGCAAAAGTTAAAAACCTTGGCGCCTCTAGAGAATGCAGCTATTGTGGGAAGTATTTCCGCTCAAACTATTACCTCAATATTCATCTCAGAACTCACACAGGTAAAATGAATTGAACTCCTCTTCATGATGGTTGGTGCCTGAACTGAAGGAAATTTCATGATTAGGATAATTCCAGCTTTGGTGTTTGATACACTTCCCAGAATCAGCTTACTGCATGCTGAGGAAATACAGTAGCCCCTAGCTGTGACCTCTAGACAGATGAGGTGGTTAAGAGCTATGCTATTAACTCCAAATATCCAGAATTGTGAGCCAACTGGAAAGGATATTGGAAATTGAGGGATTTACAAATAAGAGAGCACTGCTGCTTGCCTTTTAAGATTTTAGTCTCTTTCCATAGTATGTGGTGTTCAGTGAACTCCAGAGAACTGTCATGTTCAGTGCTAGAAGCTATATTTGTGTTGGGAGGAGAGGCTGTTACACATCCATATTGACTCCAGGAATGTAAGCATCTTCATCAACATTGATGGCTCAGAGCCCACCTCAGAGATTTAGCTTGTAGAAGGATGTGGAAATTCTCAAGTTGCTTTGCCACTTGCTTGTGGGTGGGGGAGTGTGGTAAAGGTCCTTGACATGCCTTATGCTATTCCAGAAGGATGTGATGGCACTCCTTAGTGTTCAGCTTCAGTTGCTTACTGCTACATGGCTCAATCCTGGCTAACCAAGAGACTCACACATGTGAACCAGTGATGTTGACCTCTTGAAAATGTATGCAACTATAGGGAGGATTATCACCTTGGCTATATGCTTTGTTGTTTATCCTTACTTTTGCCCTGTGTTTAGCAAAATGGTCATCTAAACTAAAGCAGCTAAAACTTCCTCTAAATCAAAGAGATATTAGTACTTAGTGAAGCTCCAGCGTTAGATTTTGGCAAAATATTGATTCCCCCAGCATATTTAGTGGAGATGGGAAAGGATAGCACAGATTCCCTTCTTGTGTTCTTTTAGCAGAGGGAAATGGTAATAGCTCTGACTTCTCGTTTGCAACTCTTTCAGGTGAAAAACCATACAAATGTGAATTTTGTGAGTATGCAGCAGCCCAGAAAACATCTTTGCGATATCACTTGGAGAGACACCACAAGGACAAGCAAACAGAAGCTGCAGCAGATGTGAAAATTGACAGTAAAGGTTTGCTGTCTTCTCAGGAGATGGGCTTTTTGCCAGTCGGCAATTGTGCTCCGGAAACCAAAAATCTGAAAAGGCTCCTGGAAGATGCCAAAGATGCTAAAGGAGGCCCACCTGTAAAACAGCAGAAAGAAATGCTTTCCTCTTTTCAGACTGCACTGAACAATATCACCCAGGACACAAATAAAGGTACAAACTATGGTGGCTCAAATGATGGTGCATCAGTTCCATGCCTTGAAAACTTAAAGTTGGAAAAAATTGAAATAGAGCTTCAGGGAAACAAGCACGTTGATAGGTCTGAGAAAAGGAATTATGTTTTGCCAGAAAGTGTGCTTTATTCTGGTGCTGTGAAAGGTGAAACAAATATGGCTCTTCTAAGCGACATTTCAGAAAACTCGAAATGCAGACTAATAGCTCAAGAAAAGCCCTTAAATTTGTCTACTGGCTGTTCTCTGGATGCTTCAGTAACTGCTGCCTCTCAGTGCTCCTTAGCAACCAGCACCTGCTCCTTTTGTACTTACCGAACACTATATCCAGAGGTTCTAATAATGCACCGGCGATTGATGCATAAGCCCCCCAATAATTCCAACGCTGCTAATAAAAATAGCATCAGAAATAGGGCAGCTCTTAAAGCCAGACGTACTGGATGCCCACCTTATCTTCTGGGAAAGGATGTGCACCCTCTGCCTCTTAACCCTGGGAAAATCAAGTCTTCCTTGCCTACCCAGTCAAAATCCCCGCATGTGGAGAAGGCTAAACATTGTTCCACTCTACGGAGCAAAGCACCCATTTTTTCAGCGTTGAACTCTAGCAGCTCGGCACCAAGTAACTTGAAATCATGCAAACTGCAAGTGATTGGAGGTCAGATTACTAGCTCTAGACCACAGCATGAAACCCACAACAGCCCTAGTAGCACTCCTGTACAGGATAGAGGGAAAAAGCTGGATCCTAAAGCAAGAGTTTTGGCTTCTTCTCAATTAGGCATAGCAAGTAGCAACATAAATGGCTCTCTTGAGACTCCGTTGAACGAATCTGCTTGGTCAAGCAATCGAGGAATAGAGTTTCTCAGTAACAGACCTGCAGGGAATATAAACTTGGAATTTGATGGACTGCCTTCTAAAAGAGCAAGGTCTAATCTTTTGGCTCCAGAACAGATTGACCCTATGCTGTATCGGAGAGGGAACGATGCTGGCAGATTACATATTGCGGGCAGATACGCAGGTCTGCTACCTCAGGAATATTCACACACCAAACCTGCTGCCTCTTTCCTCCCAGCCAAACAAGGGCTCATGAGCTCTGAAGTAGATGCTATAAATCCAGTGACTATTCTGAAGCCATACGAAACATATGGTCCTGGGCCATATTACAGTTCCTGTGGATCAAGTAGCAGCCAAGTCCCCAGCTCTTCAAAAGAAGGTATTCACACTGTGTTTCAGCACTTTAAAAACAAACTAATGCTTTCTGCTTGCTGAATCAAATTATCATGTTTTAAGTGACTGCACTGCTCACAAAAACTAGAATTTACCAGCCATTTATCTAATCCTCAGTGTGTATTTAAGAACTTGGATGTGATTGCTGTTGTCTCATTAATCCTGGGCTTATTAAATGTATCTGGGGGAAAATAGGATAGCAGACATATATTTACTTGCTGCTACAAAATGGTGCCCAATCACAACTATGGTAAAAACTTGGATTTCTCTGTGGGATATTTTGACTTCTGCCCCAGAGGAGATCAACACATGGCTTCCACTGTGAACCCAAAAATTTCCCATCTAGACATTGTAAGATAGGTCACTCTGTTTTTCTTTTTCTGACCAATCGCCAGTAATAATTTCTTTTTTAAAAAAATGAGAGTGATCACTTACCGCCTCCTTTACTTCCCCAAGGGCTTACATTACCAGAAGACAGGGATTTGGCACCACACTATGTTTTCACACAGCATGTTGCTAAGAGCAGCTGCCTTCAAGCTGCATAGTTTCTGTTTTGCAGAAACTGTTGTGCATGTAGATTCTATGTCAGCCACCCTTGGTGCTCTTCTGGGAGGAAGGGCAGGGCAGGAAAAAAGAACAATTAATAAAAAATTAAGGGAGGGAGAACAGAGCCCTAGTTCCTGCTCTTTGTTACTGGGTGGGTTGGGGGAGGCTAGGTGTGGGACTCCCTGCCTCCTTTTCTAAACTTTGTCAGTAACTTCTTAAAGCTAGAAAGAAGAGTTCTGCCCTATGCCAGGTTGGAGAAGGCTGCAGACATGCCAAATTCATGTGTATAGCTGGTAACCACACCTGCTGGCCTGAGTCTTTAGGTTCAGGTGGTGACCATTTTGTGCATGTCCAGTTGACATGTGACCAGTGATGTATGGGTTGCTTGAATTCAGAACGAGGGCAGAACAGGATGGGCTTATGCGCACTTGGGGGCCAGGAATGGAACCCCCACACAAAATGGTCACTGCCTGTATATGTATGCCAGCTCAGAGAAAAAAGCATCAGCACATGATGTGCAACCTGGACTTAGATCCAGGGCCAGCACAACGCTTGAGAGTACCTGGGACAAAGTACTCTCACTAAAATGCTGCCTTGTTGCCCCTCCTGAAATAATAGTTTTCCAGGTGCAAGGGGAGCAGCAACAGGGACAAGTGGAAACACTAGGTTCGGTCAGGTGGCTGCAGCCGCAGATTTCATTTCCCCAGAATGCTTCAGAGCTGCAAACTGAAATTGCAGAGGGATTACCGTATTTTTCGCTCTATAACACGCAGATTTTTTCTCCTAAAAAGGAAGGGGAAATGTCTGTGCGTGTTATAGAGCGAATGTGTGGTCCCTGGAGCCAAAAAATCAAGCAAAAGTCAAACCGCGAGTCACGGAGAAGGGAAACCTGAAAAGAGGAAGTGGCAGCTTTCCTGCATTCTGCCTCAGGGTCTTACTGCCCACTCTCCTCTGTTTCCTTGCTGTGATTGCTGAAACGGAACAAAGAGCAGGGAAAGCCCCTCCCCTCCAGGCAAGCAGAGTGTAGTTCTTTCTAATTCCTCTCTGTGCTCCGGTGCTGCTGGGGGAGAGGGAGAGAGAGTGGGGGAGGGAGAGGGAGAGGGGGGAGAGAGAGGGGGGGAGGGAGAGAGAGGGGGGGAGGGGGGAGGGAGGGAGAGAGAGAGAGAGAGAGAGAGAGAGGGGGGGGGGGAGAGATGGCTGGCTTGGGGGGGAACTTTTGCCTTTCTTTCCTCCCACCCCAAATCCCTCTCCAGCATTCTTAGCCAGCTGCTTCTCTGCACACCCCTCTCATGTCCCTTCTTTGTTTTTCCTTCGCTCCCCACTTAAAATGTGGTTACAAAGCATAGATCAACATGGATCCTCAGGATCTTTGCATTGGGTCACCCCAAATTCACCATCAGATCACATAGCATGTCCATGGCTACAGCCTGCACCAAAAAAATCACGCACCCACTGTTGCCTGGGGCTGCAATGGTGCAAAAATGTGGTTACAAAGCATGGATCCACAGGGATTCTCAGGATCTTTGCATTGGGTCACCCCAAATTCACCATCAGATCACATAGCATGTCCATGGCTACAGCCTGCACCAAAAAAATCACGCACCCACTGTTGCCTGGGGCTGCAATCGTGCAAAAACATGGTTAAAAAGCATGGATCCACATGGATCCTCAGGATCTTTGCATTGGGTCACCCCAAATTCACCATCAGATCACATAGCATGTCCATGGCTACAGCCTGCACCCAAAAAATCACGCACCCACTGTTGCCTGGGGCTGCAATGGTGCAAAAACGTGGTTACAAAGCATGGATCCACAGGAATTCTCAGGATTTTTGCATTGGGTCACCCCAAATTCACCATCAGATCACATGTCTGTGGCCACAGCATGAAGCACAAAAATGATACATCCACTGTTTCATTCAGAATGTTTTTTCCCTTGTTTTCCTCCTCTAAAAACGATGTGCGTGTTATGGTCAGGTGCGTGTTATAGAGCGAAAAATACGGTACACATTTGGGTAGGGCATTGGGTTTAGTGAAGATGGCGGCACTGGAGCTGCTGGGCCCTTCACAGGTTCCCCCTCCCCCGCCAAACAAAGGACCCTTCACAGGTCCCCCCACCTAAATTAAAAAAGGGAAGGGAGATGCCACCAACAGCTACAGGACCCCTGAGATTTTTCCAGCCATGCTGTGTGCTGATTCAGCACTTGACTGAATCATGTGACTAAAACACCACGTGAAGCAGTAGTATGGTAGTGGCTCATGTAGCTTTATCTCTGGGATGGTATGGACTTACTGTGGTTGTATGTCACAGGAGCAGTTCCTGAATTACATTAGTGATATAATTGCGATTCACCCTTGGCTGCAGTGAAGTAAGAATAAAGAAAGCATGTGGGAAGTGCCTGCACCTACATTTTCATGGCCTGTAATGGTGACAAGGCTTTCTCCATGTGTTCAGATCCCTCTTGTGTAGCTTCTGTATTCCTATTTACCAGAGTGGTCTCAATCAGATTATTTGTGTTGAATACTTCAGGAAATTATGTATGCTAAGAGTTGGGACAAGCAGCGGCTAAAGTGCTTTGCTGTCTCAGGCCAGGGTTTTCGCTAGATGATTTGAACCCACGGTTCTACAAACTCGCTACCTTGTTTTGCAATAAAACTGCATTCGCATGGTTATTATTCCAGCACAAGTCCCGTCCCCCCCCAAATTTGGGTATAAAACTAGCAAGTCAGTTGTCTTGTGGAAACAAATTGGTAACAGTGCATAAAACGGGAGCTTGATTTGGCTTGTGCAAGGAACCTGTGCTAGTCTTGTAACAATTTTTGGCACCTCCCACCCAGCTTTAAAACAGTTGGATTCATGTCATGCTACAAACTGCTTTTGGTTTCAAAAGCAGTTGGTGCTGTTTTGAGGGGAAAGCTGCTGTATAGCACCGCCCGCCCCCCCCGCCTTGAGCTTGTGCAAAAGGTTTCATGGTTCATTGAGTCCTGACCATTGTGTTTCATTGAGGTATGCAGATCATTATCATTGTCTGAAGTAATTCTTCCAGCATTTTGTATTCAAGATAGATTCAGCTGAGTTCATGAAAACGATCAAAATGTAATTGCAAAAAGTGTGTTTATAGACAAGTTACTCATTTGAGCAAGGGCAGAGGAAGAATGCCATGGTTATTTCACTAAGTTCTTGAAATTAGTTTTGTGGCTATTTCTGGCCTTACTGGTAATGTCTTCTAATGTGCTGGTTTTTTTTCTATTAGGAAAAAGGCCAGTGTCGTATCAACACTTGTCTAGCACCATGCTGCAGAAAAGAGGTTACGAGAGGCTTATTGGCAATACACATAATCGACTGAATGACAAGAGAACATGATTTTGCTACAATGAATGGTAAACAACTTTTTTATATTAAAAAAATTAACCTCGGGAATAAGGATCTCGCCCCTCCCCACAATTCACATATTGGCAGGAGGAACACAAAAAAGTCATGAGAATTGATTGTTGCAGACCCTCTTATCCCAGAACAAAAAGTTGGCATTATGTGCTTATCAGTGGTCAAAATGTAAAAATACCATGAGATACAACTAAAAAGGAGTTACTGTCTAGCATGCTTTTGAGGTGCAGCTCATTATATGTTGTGCCATCCTGTTGTAGTTTAGTTTCGGTGAGTTTTAAGAGCTTTGCTTCTTTATGCAAAGCACAGAATCTTTATTGAATGGCACTGGTTTATTCCTGTTCTCATGGTATCTAAAATAATGCTTTGATTTGCTTATGCTCATCTTTCATAATTGAGATGGCTACCCAGGACTATTCAGTTTAAATATTCTCTGTTCTGTGGTCCTGCTGCCTGGCTGTCTAAGAAACTAGGGTGCAGTCCTAAGCTGTGTGGTTTCTCCATTTTAAGGAGAACAGGGTGCTGTATGAGAGGATTTGCTCTGTTATGTAAATATGTGTCTGAGTTACTAAGCACTCTTACTGGGCTTATTGAATGAATAGCTTTGGCCCAGTAGCTTTGATATTCCAGCAGTCAGAGTTGTTCTATATTGCTGCCCCTAACAGTTTAAGTATCAACACTTTTTAAAGTAAAAATGTTTGTGTGTTGACATATCTCAAATAGTGTATGATTCACCTGAAGATTCCCCTCTTCACCTTCCTGGAAATGTTTTCTTACTTAGTTTTCTAAGTGTGTGTCCTTCATTTACCTTGCTTGACCCCCCCCCCCAGTTTGACTTGTTTACAAGAGGATATGTGGTTAAGGCCATTTAACTGGAGCATTCAGGTCCTTGGTAGTGCACTAAAACTAAAATATAACTATTGTAAGGCAAGATTGAGGGGAAATGGGTAACACAATGGCAATGTGTCGCTGATCAAGCATTCCTTTATGTAATTGGGGAGAATTTGCCAAGGGGTGTGTGTGCTATTTTCCATGTTCTGGCACCAGAGTTTATTACATTTGTAATCACTTCTAAGTAGTAGGATTTCGGAAGTTTCCAGCCCCACTATGCTGCTTTTTTTGTATCTGTTGTGAGTCATTGCCATAGAACCTTTTTTGTTTGTGTGTTCCAGGTATGAAGATGCAAATTTTGATTTCCCTTGCAGTTCATCTCTTGAGAATAATGAATGATGAAAGCTACCAAACTAAGCTGTGATTGTACTGTTGTATAGAGAGAAACACTACAGTTCTGTAATGGAAGGTCTGACCCCATTTGTACAGTGTGGACCTAAACACTGTCTTCTCAAGACTAGCCTGCAAAGAACTGGCAAATGCATCTGTTCCTGATCTTGAATAATATTTTTTCTCAGAATTATCATTGACCAAATATTCAATATAAAGTATATTTTTGCATACTTGAGTGCTGCTGAAAAGAGATCCAATTTAGAAGCTGTGTGTAACCCTTGCACCTCAGGTAAATCTGTGCATTGAGTGTGTCTGGTTTAAATACTGGGATTATTTTTGTATAAGGGTAGTAGTTTGTCAAATTTTGTTTTGTGCTTTAACCTATGTACATTTTTGAAAATGTTTCCAAATGAACAACATACTTTTGTTTTCATCTTACGCAGTTTAAATACCAGCTGGAATAAGGCAAGAATATTAACACACAAGTACCACAATCTTTTCAAAGAAACTGTGTACTTTATTTTCTATCAGTAGGGAGTAACACGTCTCATAATCCTTGGCATGCAGTCACAATTCAGATAAAATGCTTTTTGGCTTCCAAGCTATTACTGAAGAGGGACTTGTGCTTGCATGAGAGAGATTCAGTTTACCCCTCTTCCTCCTAAATACTCAGTTTTGACTCCACAGATGCATCATATTGCAAAAATGCATAGCTTTAAAAATATTTTGTACATATGCCTGAAGCAGAAAACAGCATTCCTGTTGAACCCTGATGCAACTTGTTGTACCAGTTACAAAACTTTATATTTGCAAATATAGTACTCCTTGTTTGTCCAGCAGCCAAAGCAAGGACATGACCCACCCATTCATGTAGCTGTATGCATGGGAAAAGATTTCCACATGGTACTATGAAGTCCTATTCCACTCCCCACCCCGCACCCCACCCCAACATTCCTGTCCATTTTGGGCCAGAATATAATGTCATGTGCACTGCCATTACTTTCAACTGAAGGCCTGTCTCGCCTCCCCCTCCCACCTCACCCCACTCCTCCACAGATCTATGTATATGGGGCAACTGTGGGCCTTCCCATGTTGAAGGCAATGGCCTGCACATTTCATTGTGCCCAGGGCTATATTCACCAAAGCAAAGAGGAATGGTGGTGGCTTTACTTAGGGACCCACTCCTTTACATTTGGAACTGTGTGCTGTGCATGCAGTGCAGCCCCAAGTTGGTTTGATAGCCTTGTCAAGGAACTGTTGGGGTTTTTGTGTGTGTGTGTGTGAACCCAATATTTTTTCCATTGCACATGACAATAATGAATGGAAGAGCCGTCTTGTTACCAGCCATGGTGCTGTGCATATTGATGATACAGCATGTGAAGCCTTTAATGACTCATTCTTTTCTTTGGGTTTGGATGTCAAACATTTCCAGGAAACAAATGGTTTCAAAAATAATTTTTGCACTGTTGATTGTGTGTTTCTTATCAGATGTAAAACAGCAGAACACAGACTTTCTTGGCGATTCCCCCACAACCCCATATGCAACTTTGAGACATTTTAAATTAATTTCTTACTTCCTGTGTATTAAGGGATATGTAATTTTGATGTCTCTGTAAAACTGGCAATGTAATGAAGTGCTGTGTATCAGGAAATTGTACACAATTTACCATTTTCCTGTTCATAAGCTGAGCCATATGTACATAAAATCTAGATTTGTTTTCCTAGTTTTGCACTTTTATAGCCTATTTTTTGAAGATAAATTTGCGTGGAAGATGGTTATTCTATTTTTGCCTTACCCTTCAACGAGTCTTATAGGATGTGTAAAATAACTTGTCTGTATCCTTTTTTTCAAGTAATAAATCTTAAAATATAAAAGACCAGGGCTATGTTTAACTATAGTTTGTATGTTTTTTAAAGAATCTTCCTCTTTGTTTTGGTGCAGTTTTTCTAAAACTCAGTCTCTTTTCAGTTTGGAAGAGAACAAAGAACGCTTTCAAATTTGACTCGGGACATCTCTCTCGTGTTACCTTTATTATGTCACTGGAGCTGCTTCAGCGCAAGCTTCCTCCTTCCTTCCTTCCTTGCAGAAATAATATCATAAGTTCTGCACTTGCTGGGTTGGTTTCCGGAAGGGGAGACACTGGTGGACCCTTTCCCAATGGCCTGGGGTTTCCAATGCTCCTTTTGCAGCACAAAACAAAGCAGCTCATATATTGTGACGTTAACACAAGAGATGCCCTCAATTGCAGCTGTACACCCAAGCATTTCCACACGGGAGTGCCATGAAAGCCCTGTCAGAACAGAGGATCTGCAGCAGCAGAGCTTTGTAGATTGCAGCCCTGGTCTCCAAAGTAGGTTTTGCCCATCAGTATTAACTATGGGATACTACTGGTTTTTTGTTTTGCAATAGCAATGAGTATACTGGTACAAATTATCAATTTGTTGTATTTATTTCCTACCCCCTTGATTTGTTTTAATTGTCGAACCTCCCTTAAGTTTGTCAGGCTGTAGACACCAATTCAAGTCATTTAATTTATGATGTGTTTTCAGTTTAGTGGAATATGTTATTACATGTGGATGTAAATACAACTTGGTGGTTTTCTTTTGCAAATACTCTCGTCCTTGTTTCACTTTCTGAACACTAGACAGACAAAATTTTACTGGGTGGTTGCGTGGTTTTTGTTCGAACGCAAGTTGCATGCAAAATTCCAAGCACTGAACCGTCGTGCTGCAAGAGGACTAAAGCAAGAGAATTACTGAGGAGTGTCTTAGAGGGATTTATGGAGCAAAGTGAAGTAGAAAAACTGATGTCAAGCACGGGGGAGGTGTGTGTCTCCTTTTGGTTGTTTTCAAAATTTTACTAGGGTTTCTTTTTTTAAAATATACAATGGTACCTTGGGTTACAGATGCTTCAGGTTACAGACTCGGCTAACCCAGAAATAGTACCTTGGGTTAAGAACTTTTAAAAGACTTTATTCGGTGGGGGGGGGGTTCCTTTGATTCAACAAATAGGTGTTCTTCCTTCATTATCAGTTCTTTGGAATTGAATGAGGGAAAGGCAAGATCTGCTATATGCAGCCCCAGTAGTTAAGTGAAAGTAAATGGAAAGGGCTCACTTTAGAACTAATACAAGTAAATACCAAGTTTCACTTCATTGCTCAAGAGAGGGAAAGAGCCCTTTCTGCCATGGCTGACATCATTGTGGCGTTTGAACTTCAATTTTAGAAATGTATCTTGACTGCACACAAAAATATCCACAATGTAGTATTAATTTTCAAGGCAGGTATAGCATTGCACGCAAGTTGCGTTTTTATTCTTCCCCCTAGAAAATGGGTGCAGAGGTCAAGCAGGTGTATGCATTAGTAATAAGAAAATGTCTCGTTGTACTACTACTATTTATTAAAGGTAAAGGTAAAGGTACCCCTGCCCGTAGGGGCCAGTCTTGACAGACTCTGGGGTTGTGCGCCCATCTCACTCAAGAGGCCGGGGGCCAGCGCTGTCCGCAGACACTTCCGGGTCACGTGGCCAACGTGACAAGCTGCATCTGGCGAGCCAGAGCCACACACGGAAACGCCGTTTACCTTCCCGCTAGTAAGCGGTCCCTATTTATCTACTTGCACCCGCGGGTGCTTTCGAACTGCTAGGTTGGCAGGCGCTGGGACCGAACGACGGGAGCGCACCCCGCCGTGGGGATTCGAACCGCGTACCATGTGATTGGCAAGTCCTAGGCGCTGAGACTTTTTACCCACAGCGCCACCCGCGTCCCTACTACTATTTATTAGTATTTTCTAAATTTCTACACCAACCTTCATCTGAAGATCACAGAGCAGTGTGCAATATAAAAACACAAAAAATACCATAATAACAAACAAAAACAATACCTTCCATATGGAGTTGAAAAGGCGACAGATTGATATAATGTTTTTTCTGTCTCCTAAAGATATGTAATGAAGGTGCCAGGCGAGTACTAAGAAACAGTCTCCAAAAAGAGCAGTCTCAAAAGAATTATCACATGGAGCTGAGTTTGATTTCCTCCCACTTTTGCTATGTTGTTAATCTTATAATCAGTGAATCCAATGCAGATTTGGTTTTGTGTCTCCTTCTGTGTGCCATGCAGGCAATCTGTCTTAAAAATAAAAATTAAGCACACATTAATTTTTTTAAAAAATCATTTGGCACATTTTTAAAAAAGTATGATCAGCTAGAAAAAGATTGAAAAACTTATCGGGGGTTGCAATGACCCAATTTGTGTCGTGCAAAGCCAGTTTGAAGCTCCCTCTGCAATTTCTTCCGAGTGTGATTCACAAATGGAACATGCACGTATGATCAGCAAAAGGGCACAAACTTGGACATTAAAGTAGCTTTAAAAAAACAGGATACATCTCTTCAATACAGAAACATGAAAGTATCACTTTTTGTATCTGACAGGCACCCTCTCAAAATTAGGTAGCAATTTGGGAAGCGAAATCTTCCTAGAGGCTTTTGCTTCTGCTGGAGTTGGTTATGCATATTTCTCAGGTGAAGAAGGTCTCCTTGCAGCTGTTTGGATCGCTGCCAAAAAGAAACCCGGAGGACTAATGTGACTACTGTATCCAAGAGATGTTTCATACAAGCAGTTTTACACACATTACAAGTGTACACATCGGCTTCTTCTAAAGCAAGTATTGGCACTGTGAGCATTGACTACTGCCTGATTAATGCTCACAACGAACAGATGAAAGTAGCTCATGCCAAATCAGACCACAGGTCAGTGCTCCCATTCGCTGCCTGACTCACTCTCGCCACAGCAGCTTTACAATAAATCAGGAATGGGGGGCCTGTGCTCCTCACCAGATGTTGGCCTTTCTGACTGCAGCTGATGGGAATCGAGAGACCAAGAACGGTTGGTGAGCCACTGGCTCCCCATCCCTGGAGGACAGCATTAAAAACCAAAAGCTGAGGATAGCAGGGAGTGGCTGCCCCCAAAGCAGAGAGCCAGTCCTCTTGTCTCCCCTGCTCAGTTGCAACTCCCAGGTGTGTGGTTGTCGGGGTGTTGAGCCTTGACTACAGATTCAGGTACCGTGCATATATTTCCGATGTAAACTGCTTTACTTACAAGGTTCTATGGGAGACGGAAGGGTTTAAAGATGCCTGAAAAGGAAGAGAGAAGCACCTAGAGACATGTTGTTGTTTAGTCATTTAGTTGTGTCCGACTCTTCGTGACCCCGTGGACCAGAGCACACCAGGCACTGCTGTCTTCCACTGCCTCCCGCAGTTTGGTCAAACTCATGCTGGTAGCTTCGAGAACACTGTCTCGTCCTCTGTCGTCCCCTTCTCCTTGTGCCCTTCATCTTTCCCAACATCAGGGTCTTTTCCAGGGAGTCTTCTCTTCTCATGAGGTGGCCAAAGTATTGGAGCCTCAGCTTCAGGATCTGTCCTTCCAGTGAGCACTCAGGGCTGATTTCCTTCAGAATGGATAGGTTTGATCTTCTTGCAGTCCATGGGACTCTCGAAGAGTCTCCACCAACACCATAATTCAAAAGCATCAGTTCTTCGGCGATCAGCCTTCTTTATGGTCCGGATTTCTCTTCCCTACATCACTACTGGGAAAACCATAGCTTTAACTATACGGACCTTTGTTGGCAAGGTGATATCTCTGCTTTGCCAAGTGGATCACGTTTGGTCAAAACTCTCCACTATGACCTGTCCATCTTGGGTGGCCCTGCACGGCATTGCTCATAGCTTTTCTGAGTTATTCAAGCCCCTTCGCCACAGCAAGGCAGTGATCCATGAAGGGGACCTGGGGACATAGGAAGCTGTTAACCCATTGCTTCATGTGCTTCAGTATTGTTTGCACCAGGGTCTGGGTAACCACTTTAAGCCGGTAGGCTGGGTCAAAAAGTGACCAGCCATCTATGGTCCAAATGGAACAAGTGGACAGGGCTGGCCAGCTGTACAAACATCGGTTGTCACATGACAGTAGGTCATGGGGCTTGCATTCTGTACCAAAGTTTAAATAGCACCGCTATTTAGAGCTCTGCTGCAAAAGAACAATGGTGCACTCTAAGCTGTGTGCTTTACATGTGTGCCAAGACTTTACCTGTCCCTTGCCTGATGTCAGGTGAGTGAGAGGTGCTGATGAAAAATAGTTTTGCTGGCTAATTCAGTCTATACCAGTATTTTCCAACCTTGGGTCTCTAGCTGTTTTGGGACTACAACTCCCATAACCCCTAGCTAGCAGGACCAGTGGTCAGGGATGATGGGATTTGTAGTCCAAAAATAGCTGGAGACCTGATATTGGGAAACACTGGTCTATACATTGCAGATTTCCTACAGGTGGTTTACAGGGGTTCCTCCCAGCCTTGCCTGGAGATACCAAATCTGGATGCAAAGCACTTGCCCTACTCATGAACCACATCTCCCTCCCCGCCTCATTTCCCCCCATCAATTGGCTCTCTCAGTCCCTCTATTAGCATTATGATTCCTCCGCACATGCCAGGAACCAGTCATTCAGTGTGGCAGCACGAGTAGTGGTTGGAGTATTGGACTAGGACCTGGGAGACCTGGGTTCAAATTCTCCTCTCAGCCATGAGTTTCACAGGGTGCCCTGGGGCCAATCGATGCCTCTCAGCTGAGCCTACCTCACGGCAATAAATATAAATAAATAAAACACTTTAAAAGTATGCACATGGGGGAAAGTACATGAAAGTACCTGTCAGGGGTTCAGGAGCAGAGGCAAGGGCAAGGGAGGAAACAGAGAGTGAGGGGGAGGAGGCAGAAGAGAAAATGAGTGATGACGACGACCCGAGATCTCCGAGTCTTTCCAGTGAATCAGACGATTCACAGAAAGGAGCACCAGTGGCCAGGGCAAGGGGGGAGACTAGGGGGACACCCCAGGAAGAAAGGGCCAGAGGGGGCTCAGAGGGGAGCAGTGGGAAATCGGGACCAGCGTCACCGCCAGAGAGCAGGGAAGAGGAAGGGTGCCAAGGATCAAGCGCTGGCAGCTCACAACAAGGGGGAGGGCACGAGTCAGGAGTGGCCACACCTCCATCGGGGAGCGAAGAAACGGTCAGACGGAAAGTGGAAGGTTGGGCGCGCGCGCCAAGTTCAAATGCACAGGAAGGTGGCGCAGTGAGCAGCCCGGAAAGGGAGCCAGGTCCTAAAGCCCGACGCAAGGAGACAGAAGGGTCCGGGGGGTCAGCGTCAGAAGAGTCCCGGAAGGAAGAGACCCCGGGGGGCAGAGGGACCCAGAGAAGAACAGTCAGGCGGAAAAGGTGGAGTAAGGCTAGGGTATTAAGTTGGTGTACAGGGGGCGGAGACTCAGACGGAGCTTCGCCGGTCTAGCCCTTAAGACGTAGAGTTGCACGCAGCAGCTTGAGAATGGAAACTGTAACTCAATAAAAGACTTTTACAAGTGACCGCTGGCTAGCGTGATCCTCTGTGAGCTAGGATCGGGAAGCAGCTCTGACAGTACCGTACATAAATTTTGGAACTCCCCATTACAGCCTTTGTGCTGTATTGGTTTTTTGTGCCTGCTTAAATCTTGTTTGTTTCAGCAAGCCTTCTCAGGCACGCAAGTTTTAAACATGCTGTTTTTCACATCTAATTTTATTATGCATAATGGTTTTAAGTTTGCTGGCTTGATTTAAGGTTTTTATGTTGAACCTGTTTTGAAATTCTT